TTTTACAGCACTAGGTAGGAGAAGCATTCATTATCCCTAGTATGTTCAGATAAACACAAAAACCTTTAACAAACATTCCAGTTTCATCTTTTCTTCTTCACCTCTTGCTTATCTTTTCATTCATACACACACGATCTTGGGCTTCTGTCTGGGTGGAACCGGAAGACTTTGTTCCCTTTCAGTCATCTTGCTTAACTACCTGGCTTTTGCCTCAAGCCACTCCCATTTGTGGCTTTACTCCCCTCAGCTGCAGCATAGCATGTTTTAGGTTCCTTTCAGCAATTATAGGTAGCAGCCAAAGTAACCATCCAAGAATCAGAAGTTTCATTTCCCACGTCCCTTGGTTCTTTCTCTTACAGAGTCCCGTGTTTCCATGAGTCTGGAGCCATTGCATTGAATTTTACTCCTGACACTAACTATTAAGAAAAAAAAAAAAAAAAAAGATGCCAACTGTAAAAATGACATGGTTGTAGCATCAGACCCCCTCTTCTGACTTCACAAGGGGAAAGGGAGAGAACCATTAGCAGCGCCAGTAGTCCAAGGTTGATTCTTGTGAGGCACAGGTCAGACATACCTCCTCTCCCCAACCTCTTTACCAGTTCTGATAGCAACAATCCCTCCATAGCACTTTCTGCTCCATCGTTGGCTTCAATAATTTGTTGCAGTGGCCACACAGAACTCACAGACCTGTTCATAATTATGGGGCTTATTAAAAAACTCACTGCCATCAAGTCGATTCTGACTCATAATGACCCCCTTTGGGTTTCTGAGGCAGTAAATCTTTACAGAGGTAGATTGCCCAGTCTTCCTTCCATGGAGTGGCTGGTGGGTTTGAAACCACCAGCCTTCTGGTTAGCAGTTAAGTGCCTTAGGCATTGGAGGTAACCAATTCAGGAAGTGCCTTAGGCATTGGAGGTAACCAATTCAGGATCAGGAACAACTCAAAACTTGGGTCATTGGTCAGCATAGCTCTTATTCTCCCAGGAGTTTCGCTCCTCAGCCCCTTGGATGTCTTGGGGTGGCCCAGCCTCTGCTCTGCTTGGGCGAGTGTTACAAAGCTCCTTAGCTCCACTGATAAGTGCCCAGGGGCACCCTACTCTACCAATAGTCCTCAGCCTGAAGGCGCTCAGCTTACTCACTCTGTGGGTTGGTGAGCGTAGCTCCAGTAAGTGTCTGGAGGCACCCCACTGTATCTGCTTTGTTCTGTGGGCCGGGAAGCCCACTGCCCCATCTCACACTGGCCTCTAGGTCCTCCTGCTGCCATTTCTCTGCCACTGCTTCTCTCCATCTCATGCCATATCTGGTGTTAGAACTCTCTCTCTCTCTCTGTCTCCTGGGTCTAGGAGGTTCTCAATGCAGGCACCCCAGACCTACAGGATATGTTCCACTCAAACTCTTATTTCTTGGTGATAGTAAGGTGCCCCTTTTCCTGTTCCCTTGCTGGAGTTGACTCTCAGTGACTTAATATTTTAACAAATAGTGTTTTCACGTGTGTATAGCATCACAGAATTTATAGAGGGCCTTCACTCCAGATTTTAATTAGTTCCCATCCTTGAATGAGGAACAGAGGAAAAGTGAGTACCTTGGGGCTCAGACTAGAAATGGGGCTTGAAATGTTTTGGAGTCTGGAGTACAGACTGGCCCTTTAGGATTTTAACCTTCAGCTGAGCAAATGACAGGTGTATTAATCCAAGTAGGGCCACTGGAATAATTTACCACATCACTAGGTAAAGGGGTAGGCAGCAGGCATATCCAGCCTGCACTGACATTCAGTAGTAATGGGGAGGTGTCATAGTGAATCTGTCAGTTAATCAACCCTGTTAGTTGAGAAGGACGAGTCTTAATCCCATTTTACACTTAAGGAAACAGAGCTACAGTGTGGGTGTTAGGATTCTTGATGGCAGGTGACAGAAACCAGGCTTTAAATTGCTTAAAATAAAAGAGCAATTTATTGGCTTTGTCTGCCTTCCTGCTGTGGCCAGTGGAGCCTTAAGGAAAGAGATGAGGTGGCACTCTTCTCTTCTTTGTGTTTCTCAGTTTCATTCGCAGAGTGGCTCTTTCCATACAGCTCCAGGAGAAATGGCCACCTCAGTTCATCTGTCTCATATCCCACACTTCCCCTAAGCAGCAGGGATCTGGTCCAGGGGAAACATTTCTTGACTGAGGCTCTGATTAGCCAAATTTGAATTATGTCACTGTCCCTGGAAAAACTGGCTAGAAGTTGGGATGGGAGAAAATGGTACCCCCAGAAAGGGAGAGTGGTCCAAAACGGCTGAGTAGGAGAAGTCTGTGTTGCTGCCTGGGGCGTAAGGAGGCTGTGGGTGGCACAAAGGCTAACTCACTTGGCTGCTAGCTGAAAGGTTGGTGGTTCAAGTCCACCGAGGAGTGCCTTGGAAGAAAGTCCTTGGCAGTCTACCTCTGAAGAACCAGCCATTGAAAACCCTATGGAGCACAGTTCTACTCTTGACACACGTGGGATTATCATGAATTGGAGTCAACTCCGTGGCAACCGGTTTTTTCTTCCTGGGGTAAGCATTCTGAGCAAAGTATCTGCCACAAGTCAGGGCCCTTTCAGGAAGATCACTGCTGCCTGGGGGAAGAAGAGGATGGATACTGACTACGGGCATTGTCTGACGTGCCATCAGGATGGAGGATGGGGGTGAAGGGAAGATGGAAGTGGTGTTTCTGTTGCATTAATGTCTTTGCCTTTTGTGTTTGACACAGACTCCAACTCCACAGAGAGAAGCCCAGCAGAGAAGCAGCGCAGTGGCCCCACTGCCCCTGGGGACACATACCTCCTGGAGCCTGCAGACCCATCCCGGGGGAGACCCACCCTCTCACCAGCGGTCACACAAGTTCAGCTTGTTGGATTGAAGTCTGGCATGAAGTACAAGGCCACTGTTTATTCTCAGGCAGCAAATGGCACTGAAGGACAACCCCAGGACATAGAGTTTAGGACACGTATGTTGAATTTAGTAAAATGACTTAAGCCAGAATTTTCTAGCAGAAAGTTTTATTTTCTTTGACTCTGTTCCTGAATTTTTCTCTTGCTTAGTAAATCGTTTTGTTGTCAGAGAGATTTTTCTGGAAGAGATTTTAAGCAGGGTAGATCCATTCAGTTTCTTTCATCGCCATAGCCCAGGCACTTCTTTCATGAACTTCAAGAAAACATACTGAGCAGCTATGGTGTGCAGGAACTAGGTGCTACCTCATGTCTTTCTTCCGTATCTGCAGCTAGAATGGCCATATTGGCCTCTGAGATGAAGTTTGTTTTACAGATACTCAGTTTGTTGATGTTGGTTAAATTTTTCTCCCTTGAGATAAGAAAATGAATTTTTTTTTCACCTGACTTTGTATTTGTACTGATCTTTCAATTGAGATACCTGTTGATCTGCAAACTGCTGCTTTCTGCTTAACAATTTAAGGAGCCTGGTAGCACAGTGGAGCTCTGGTGGTGCAGTGCCTAAGGCACTTGACTGCTACCAGAAGGCTGGTGGTTCAAACGCACCAGCCACTCCTCAGAAGGAAGATGGGGCAATCTACTTCCGTAGAGATACCACCTTGGAAACCCAAGGAGGGGTCACTATGAGTCGGGTTTGACTTGACGGCAGTGTGTTTGGTTTTTTTGGTTTGGTAGCACAATGGTTAAGTGCTGAACTGCTAGCCAAAAGGCAGACAGTTCCAACCCACCCACTGGCTCTGCCTGAGAAAGACCTGGTAATCTGCTCCCGTAAAGATGAGAAAACCCGGTGGGGCAGTTCTAGACTATCCCATGAGGGTCTTTATCAGTCACAATGGACTTGACCTAACAACCACACAGTGAAGCTGTGACTTGTCAGCATTTCTACTCTGTGAGCTGACCAATTTATTTGAAGGCTTCTTGGACTGTCCTGATAAAGGAATAGAGACATACTGCTTCCTACTCCAGGGAGCATCTATTGTAGATGGGGACTGAAGACAAACATGCGTAGGAATGTGCATTGTGGCCCTGTGGGTGCAGGAACAGTTGCTGCAGCCCCAGAGCCTTCAGGGCCTTGGTTGTAAGCAACAAAACCCAACTCCACTTATCTTAACCAAGAGAGTTAAGAGTTGGAGGCTTGGGTTGGGACTGGAGGACCAGGAACGGGAAAGATAAGCATCTGGAGGGCTGGGCCAGGCAGAGGTGGGTCCCCCCTCCCTGTCATACTTGACTGGTGACACTCTCTCAGGATTCAGAGTCCTGGGAGAGGGTGTCACATATCTGCTTCTGGATGGCTGTGCCAGGAGGAAGGGGGTTCTGTCCCCTTGGCTTCCATGTGAGTGACAAATACTTCCAGCGATGCTATATGGAAGGGGCATTAGGAGCTGCACAGGAAACATACAGCCACCGTTAGCTATAACTACATACTAGGTGCTGTGTGAGGTCCGTGGATGGTGCACGTGGTTAAGTGTTTGGCTATTAACTGAAAGGTTGGCGGTTCAAACCCACCCAGAGGCACGTGAGAAATAAGGCCTGATATCTGCTTTTGGAAGGTCCCAGCCTTGGAAACCCTATGTGACAGTTCTCCTTGGCACACATGGGGTCACCATGCTTTAGAATCGACTTGACGGCAACCCCCCCCCCCCCCACAGGTGTTGTGACCAGTGGGCAGCAGGAGCACAATGTTACCATCAGACCCTGAGGGGAAGCCTCTTGTACAAGGGAGGATTTGAAGGTTTGACAGGAGGGGAAGATTTTGTTCAATGGAGGGGAGAGGAGGGAAGGGCACGCCAAGTGAGGCATCATGGTGAGTGCAAGTGCAGATGATGGAAACGGAGCTGTGAAGGCACAGAGCAAGAGGGAGCATGGGAGGTGAGGCAGGGGAGAGACTCGAAGCTCTGTCACAAAGTCCGTGGAATGCCAGTCTGCGAGCTTTGACTCTGCTGCATGGTGTAAGCAAACGATATCTTTCCTGCAATACATATCAGAGGCTCACAAACCTCCCTGTGCCTGAGGGAGTGACAGGGCAGAGGTGGGTGTTTAGAAGCATGGTCTGCTGATGACATGTGAGAGAGCTTGGAGCAATGAGAGTCTTCAAGCAGGAAGCAGACCTGGGTAATGAAGGTCAAGCTAGGAGGGTGGGGATGGACACAGAGGAAGAAGGTTTGGGATTCAGCAACATCTCAAGGAGCCTGGTCATTCTAAGGGTTGATTTAATTCCTAGAAAGCGGTTACTTGTCTTGAGAATTGTCTCTTATTTAGAGGGTTTACAGAGGGGGGAACATATTTTTGAGAATGTATTAGAAACAGTGACGAGCCAGGCTAGATTACTTGTACAGGGCAAGAAGATTGGGGCAAGAAGCCGGTCAGTGACAAGTCGTGTCTGTTAGGACTGACTGCTTTTCCTGCCATCCACACTGAAGGAGGGTCTAGTCATACCCACTTCTTTCGTCATGTGATAAGGTGGGGTGCGGGAGGAGAAGATGCGACCATAGCGGGGGCTGCTGGACCTTATAGGGATGCAGTGACTGGCAGCGGTAACAGACAGGAGTCTCTGTGAAAAGGGCTTGGTTTCTAGAGGGTGCGGTGAGGTGTGAGGAAAGGTGCTTCCCATGTTGCAGGTTGTCCTGCTCACGCGGCCTTTGTGTAGGAGGGTGAATGGAGTTATACTCCAGGCTATGTGCCCCCCTCCAAGCCATGCAGCCCAGGACGGGCCACAGAGAGGAAGACCTTTGCCTTCTTTGCTAGAAGGGGTCATGTGGATTTGCATTGGTCTTGAATGTCCTGCTCTTCAAAGCATTTTGAGCAGAAGTAAGGTAGAAGTGGTTACATCTTGAGCTTTGACCGTATGGATGCACACAGAGCCTAGTTGGTGTTGACCTGCCTTGTCTCGTTGTTAACTGCTGTTGAGTGGATCCTAGACTCATGGTGACCCCATGCACAACAGGACCAGACTGTTTAAGGTCCATAGGGTTCTCACAGGCTGCTTTTTTGGAAATAGATCGCCAGGCCTTTTTTTCTAGTTTGGAAGCTCCATTGAAACCTGTTCAGCTTCACAGTTACCTGTAAGCCTCCTCTCCTCACAGATGAGTGGTGTCTGTGCTTAAGGTGCAACTGGCTGGAATTGAACCTGGCTCTCCCCCCTGGAAGGCAAGAATTCTGTTACTGAACTACCACTGCCCCTCTGACCTGTTGTAGCACTTGATAGATAATAATTATAGTAGCCTTATCCTCTGTGGTGATGTAATGTGGTAGGCATTTTTTAGGTGATAAGTCAGGAGGGACAAGTTAAGGAAACTATGGAAGACATACTGAGACCAGCCAAGGTGGAAAGCTACCTCTAGGGCTGAAAGGCCAGGGGAGGAAATGATGTTTCTGGAGCCCAGTGAAGTCAGGGTTTAGGGAATGCAGCCATGGCACAGCACACAGCCCAGAGTAGGAGAAAATGGAGAGAAAGACTCTACCTTCTCCTTGGTCCTCTAATCCCTGCCCATTGCATTCGTAGGTGGAATGCAATCACAGCCCATCTGACAGGCACCCTGGTGATGCACTGTGTAGGGGGCAGAGCAGGCAAGGGAAGGCCGGGGGAGATTGGGAGGGAGGATGGGCAAGTGCAGAACGACCATCATGCTCAGGTTCTTTGCTCTTGAGGTCAGGATTGCCATTTAGATTTTACAGATGAGGAAACCAAGGCTCAAATGATTTGCCTGGTGTTCCTTTGGCTATCCAAGCAGACCTCGCCTGGGGACCCAGACCTATCTTACGCCAGAGTCTGTGATCATGAAGGGTAGTGTCCATTCTTGGATCTATATAGGTAGAGGGCTTTTCTGGGTTTCTCCTGGCACCTAGGGCAAGGCATGCATTGAGACCATGCTGTTGTTTGGTTAAGAGTCCACCATATCTGTAAAAGCCAACTCATAAAAAACAAAATGTAACTATGCAGTTATAGTTGGCTAGGTTTCTCCACTGGTGATTGCTGACTTTTCCTGGGACTCATATAAATTTCCAGTTGTGGTTAAAAGGTGTAGAGGAAGGAGGAACAATTGCCAAGAGTGGTAACATGCCCTGATGACAGCTTCTCTCTCTCTCTTCTCTCTCTATCTCTCTTTCTCTCTCTCTCTCTGGCTTAGCCATTCTAGTAATTTTGAACTCTTCCTCCTTTACAGATTCTGAAAGTCAAGTTTTTGGCATCCGAGTTGTAAGCATCAATGCCACAAGCATGAATTTGACTTGGGAAATCAGGGACACTGTGCCACCCTCTGTCTACACCTACAAAATCCAAGTTGTAGGGGAAAACCAGTCCTTCAATTTCACAGCCAATGAGACTCATGTTGTCATCCCTGGACTCACATCCAGCACCTTATACAACATCACTGTGCGTCCTTTGCAAGATGATGGTGCTGAGGGCACGCCCGGCTTTCTCCAAGTGTATACTCGTGAGTTCACTTGTTCTACCTCACCTTCCTTGCCTATCTGCTACAGCAGGGCCCAGTTACAAAGATGCATAAGCTGTTGCCTGACCAAAGGAATGTATGGCTTTGTGTGTAAGTCCACCATATGGCTTGGTGTATAAGGCTCTTACTCCGGGATGTGGAATATCACACTTGTGATCATTGACTGGCATGAACCATGTGCTAGGCTATAAATAACATGCTTTATTAGCACTACCTCATTTAATGTGCCCACCTTCCTGTGCCTTGGTTGGCACTAGGCTTACTTTATGTGTGAGAAAGCCAAGGTTGAGAGAGGTGCTGAGGCCACAGCTGGTGGTGAGGGAGGTGGGAGTCTGTCTGGGCTCCAGCCTGAGCTTGTAACCGCCATTCTAGAGTGGTGTAGACATGGAGCACGTGGGTAGATGGAGAGAAAAAGAACCTGGGTATCCATGTCCCTTTGTGTCCAGATACTGACATTGTTAATGTCATCACTAACACAGCTGTGCCTTATCCTTTGTTTGCTTAAATGTCCCTTGAAAATGTGATGACAGGCAGCACATAAAAAGCTTTCTGTTCCAAGGAAGGCCCGATAGTTTAGAACCAGACAGTAATGGTCTACCAGTTGGGACAGTGGTGTGATGGACTTGGGGTGCTGGAGAGGAGCCATGCATTTGGCACTAGGCCAGGAGCTTGGCATGTGCTGCAGTGGCCTGCCCAGGAAGAAGTAGGATCTTTTTTTTTTATAGACTAGAAAAGGACAGCCCAGCACGGCTGAAGCATTTGCCCAAGGCCCTACAGCCGGCGAGCAGCGGAGCAGAGACCTGAGCCCGGGAGAGTCCGACTCAGGAGGCAGGGCTTCTTCCACAAGGATGTCTTCCTCAGGTGTCTGTTTCTTCCCAGGATGTGCATCTTAACATTCTTACAGACGCTTCTGATTGGCTCTTTGGGAAAATGGATGCTGCTTTCCCTTCTTCACCATTTTACTCTTTTGCCGTTTAATCTGCTAGTTAGGAGTAGATTCAGTTGTGAGTGTCAGAAACCCTCACGTATCAGTGGCTTAAACAACATAAGAGATAGTTTCTCTGTCATGTAAAAGCAGTCCAGTATTAGGCAGGGCTCAGGCAGGAGATGGAGGCCATGGGCTATTTTAAGCTGAAAGGGATTGGATCCCGGGAAGTGAGAGTTTATTGAATCTTTGGAGAGGCTGGGGGCAGGCTCTGGGTTCACCCCTATAAATGACTCCTAGATCAGCTCCACTGAAGTGGCTCACCTGGTTGCCGCAGTCAGCAGGGTGGGATTAGCAAGCCTCTGCTGTAGTTTTTGGCCCCAGGAGAACACGATCCTGATCTTGGTTGGGGAAGATGCAGCCACAGTGTTGGTCCTCGAGTCAGGCCAGGCCTGTGAGCTTGGCACCAGCAGCAGGTGCAGGCTCACGCCCCAGCTCTCTGCACCAGGGGAGGGAATGAGTGAAAGTGCAATGACGCCGCAGAAGGACCCTCTGCCGCCTCGGGACTGTGCGGACAGCAGAAGCCACGTCTCTGCCTCACGTTCACCTTTCACAGCTTGAGGAAGGCCTCCCGTTGCCTGAATCTAAATCACATCCAGAATCCTGGCTGCAAGGAGGTTGGAAAAATTAAGTTGTTAGCTTTCTACCTTGTGTGATAGAAAAAGGCACAGGAGAAGCAGGGTCAGATTGTAATGTTATACCATGGACAGCATCCTAAAGGCTTCCAGGACCCTAGATGTTGTCACTACACCATCCTCAGTGTGTTGTTTCCACCTTATTGGCCAAGGTGGCAGCCTGAACTCTAGTCATCACACCCACGTTGCAGCTACAGGAAGGGGAAAGGGCAGAAGGAAGTGTTCCCACCTTGGAAGTCAACAGTAATTCTGCTGACGTTCTGTTGTCTAAACTTAGTTATGTGGCCATGTCTAGCTGACAAGGAGTCCGGAAAATGTAGTCCTACAACTAATACCCCCTGAGCTGAAAATCTAGGCATCTATGACTAAGGGAATGGGACGATAGATTTTGGGATTCCACAGCTGCTCTTCCACCCTTTTCTGAGTGGCAGCCCTGGGAGGTTTCATCATCTACTCAAGGTTAAGCAGCCAGCAGCGTCTAAGGTTCTGTTCCAGAGCCTGAGCCTTGACCGCAGGAGGACACGCCTCTTCTCATTTCCTGTGGATGACTTTGAAGCTCACCATCTGCCATTCTGAGGCCAAGCGTTCCCTTGGTGGGAGGGATTGCATTTCTGAGGGTCTTGTGTTGTAGGTGGCAATACAAAGAAGAAGAAGAGAGATGAGTGCCCTCAATTTGAAATGATCCCAGTGCAAATATTTTGTGTACTTTTGTCACCCCTGTCTTCTGGAGAAACAGATTATATTATTATTATTATTTTTTAAAGAATCTTTTGTTTCTGGTTTGCTAAGAGTTTTTGTTTTTTTAATGTTACTATGATGTGTAGCTATGTACTGCAACATTGGCCGCTTCCACCATTTCACATGGACAGTTCAGTGATGTTGATGATACTCATGTTGTTCAACCATCACCTTCACCCACCCCAAACTGTACCCTTACCCTCAGTGGAGGCTTAGTGTCTACTAAGGAGGTAGATTCTTAATAGATTCATTTATTTTCTTCCCTCAGCCCCTGGTCCAGTCTCTGATTTTCGAGTGAAAAGTGTTGGCACAACAGAAATTGGCTTGGCTTGGAGTAGCAATGACTCGGAATCCTTTAAGATAGTTACCAGACGGGATGGAGCTGGGGAACCTCAGGATGAAACCACCACCATCAACCACAGCATTACCATTGGTGGCTTAAACCCTGGAACCAAGTATCATTTTGAAATATTCCCACAAGGACCAAATGGGACACAAGGGCCACCTCAAAGAGTTGTTGCTCAAACTGGTAGGTGAATAAATAATATTTTCAGTGAAACAGTGATGTTTCTTAAAGGAAATAATAGAATAGATAAATGTCAGATTTTCCTTTTCATTATCTAAAGAAAAATCTTTATAACAATTTTATAATGATAGTAAGGCATACACTTTTTATTAAAGACAGAGAAGCAAAAAGAAAAGGAAACAATCACACGTAAGCCACCAGCCAGGATGATGACTTTGGAATAAGCTGGGCTTTCTGACGGTCTGTAATAGATTTCCTTTTCCTGCTTTTCTTGGCGCAGAGTCCAGCGCGGTGTTTGACATCCGCGTGGTGCGCGTCACTACCACCGAAATGGATTTGGAGTGGCAGAGCACTGACAGCACTTCCAAGTACATCTACCATTTAGATATACAGCCTGAGGTCAGTGCTAACAAAACGGTCCGGGGTCGCAAAGCGATCACTCTAAGCGGCCTAACACCGGGCACTCTCTACAGCATCACAATCACTCCGGAAGTGGGGGGCGTCCGAGGGAACTCCAGCTCCACCTCACAATACACACGTAAGTCTCCTAGGATGCCTTTCCACGGGAGCAGTCTCCCTGATTTTTGCATGGAGAGAGGGAAGCAAGTATTGGTTGAATGATTGGAGAAAGGTTGAGGGGAGGAGGTATTTCTGGGTTCCAGGCTGAATTTCTGGCCTCAACAAAGGGTCTTCTGTTCTCATGGGGCACTGCCACCAAAGCCGTGTGAACTTGATGTCATTGTTGGAAGCAGAAAGCGATTCTGTGACAATGAGAAAAATACCCAAACAGCTGTTCCATTAATCCATTGGGAATATAGACTAGAGGAGGGTCACCTTGTCATGTTGGCACTGAAGAGACTGCCAGGTTGAGAAGCTTTGCAAGTAACACTGAGGGAAGTGTTTTGCCAATATGGGACCTACACTTATGGTAAAAGATGGATAGTTTATATCTTTTCAGTGTATTTTTCTTATTCATTAATTGGATTTAAAAAGATTGGAAATTCTATGTTGAAAATAGCTTTTGGAAAAAGTTAAGATACTAAGAGAAACCTAAAAATGTTGAATTCTTTTGAGATGTCATCTGTGTAATTATTTTCTGATTGTCTTTTTGGGAAGTCTTCCACTTTATGAGTCAGGAAACATTGGTTTTATTCATTCTTTCACCCAAGGATCCAGGCTATTTTTGGATGCAGTAAATAAAATAGTCCTGGAAGTCAAGCTGATTAATGTTTCTTCTTCTTTTTTTTTTCTGAACAAAGGGCCCAGCAACGTGTCCAACATTGAAATAAGTACCAACACCACAGCTGCGACCTTCAGTTGGCAGAACTTTGATAACGCCTCTACCATGTACACTTATCACCTTCTTATTGATGGAAATTTCAGCAGCCCAATAGAAGAAACCACAGATGTTGGAATCACCTCTGCTACAGTTACTGAATTAATACCTGGCTCACCTTACACAGTAGAGATCTTTGCACAAGTTGGGAATGTCACTGAAGGAGCATCTAGCTATGAGTCATTCTGTACAGGTGAGTAGCCTCATATGCCTGTTGGCCTCCTCCTGTGTGGTATTGACCTTGCAAACAAGACCTGTGCAGTCTTTAGTTACTTAGCTTTTGTGTGCTTTGCAGTAATTAACATTATACTCACTGAGCCATCCTGTTAGCTTGTTAGTGCTGTGTTGATATCCCCATCATTTATTCATTCAACAAATATTTGTTGAGCACTTACTATATGCCACACATTATTAAATGAAACAGACAACTCCCCAATTTCCTGGAGCTTTGATCTGGTGGGAAAGACAAATAAGAAAGAAGATAAATAAGTAATTTATTGGATGATGGTTAGTGCTAAGGAGAGGAGGGAGAGGCAGGGAAGGGCAAAATGAAATGTTTATCCAGAGTACCCAGTGAGACTTTCAATGAAGAGGTGACTTCTGGGCAAAGACCAGAAGGATCTGACAGAGCCAGCCATGTAGATATCAGGACCTAGA